CAGATTTTTAATGTTTATTTTGTGTATGTGTGTGTTTGTGTTTCAGTTGTATGTTTTTTTTAAATAGTCATATTCAAAGTGTTTTGTTTGCAATTGTTCAACCGTGGTGTGAATAATGAACGACTCCTACGTAAGTATCTAACTATGCAAATGACAGTAACAATGTAGAAGTAACATACATACACATACAATAATAATATATAAATATAAAAAATATGTATATTCATTTGCCGACTGTCCATATATAATTATAATTAATATGTATTTGAAAACTATACTAATGATTCTTTGGTTGGACCATCCATGGTTTCGAAACGTTCGTAAGTTACATTGGTAATAAAGGTATGTCCATATTTACAAAATTAATAATACATTTCTTACTAAGACAAGGGTTTCTGAAGAAAGGTTGAATTATTGTATAAAACAGGTTAGTGCATGGCTTCGTGCCTTAAGGAAAATTGCTGGAACTTCCTGTACCGTAATATAATATTCTTAATTCTTAAATTGTTTGATTTGAAAACTGACAAAATCCAAATGAGAATTTTTTAAATTTTGAAAAAAAATCGACTCTTTGTAAAATAGGATTTTTGAAAAAAACAATTTTTTTTGAAAAAAAAAATACTCTTTGAACAAATACTTTTTGAAAAAATTTACTCTGAAAGATTAGATTTTTGAGAAACTATAAATTTTTGACAAAAATTTACTTTTTTTTGAAAAAAAGACTTTTTGAAGAAAAGTGTATATTAAAATATTTTGGAAATTCTGAACTTTTTTTCAAAGCAATCGTACTGCTTTAACTGCATAGAGACGAAATATCAAAGCGCGCAAACGCCGCGCCGCCGTCTAACGGATATGCATTGGTACGGAACCCATAGAAATGTAAACAAAATTTATGCTTATTGTTAAAATCTCTATAAAATATCTGATAATTTGATGTGCATATGTCTAATGATCATTTTTGACCGCCAGATGGCATATTTTTACTTTTTTTATTAGATCTCCGAAACCGCTAGGCCTGCCTTCATGAAATTTGATCAGTTCTTCATCTTGTTAATACAAGTAAAATGCTTTTTGTATTATTCAAATCGGACGCTCCGTTCTCTTAAAAACTGAGTTACAGTTTTTGGCACTTTTTGCCCCATATCTTCGAAACGGCTAGACCTGCCTTTGCCAAAAACTAATCAGCATGTCTCCTTATCAATACAAATCGAATGTTTTTTGAATTATTCAAATCGCTTCATCCGTGTTCGCGAAATCGTCGACAAACAGTTGTATCCGAACACACATACACACACATACATCCATTTTTTCTAAGGTATGCCAAAATATTCAGAAACCTCTGAAACGTAAAGATATATAAAAATTTTCATTTTCATTTTTTTGCGATTACTATAACTTACCCTACGGGAGGTTAAAAAAATGGAAAATAGACGTTGATTTTGAGATATTCCAAAATTTTCAAAAAAAATCGATCAGGAAGAAAACTATCGAAAAATTTGAATTTAAAAAAAAAAAAAATTCCAAAATTTAAAAATTTCAAAAATACCAAATTATTTTCCAATATTTTCGAAAAATTAATTTTTTTCTGAATTTTCAAAAAAAAAACTAAAATCGTCAATGTTTTTTGAAATTTTGAAGCTTTCAAAAATATTAAATTACGGTATGGAAAGTTCCAACAATTTGCCTTAAAGCACGATGCCATGCACCACTAGTTTTTGTTTGTTATTGTGTTTTATTAAAAATATTTGTATAAAAATGAGTCATATCAAGACTAGAATCGTATTATAGAGTAATCAAACTTCTACCCTTAATATGCTTCTACATTGTTTTTTATTTACTAACAAAAGTTATGCATGTACAATATATATATATTTATATATATATATATATATGTATATATATATATATATATATATATATTTAATATAAACATAATGAAAATCAATAAATGAAATAGAAGACAGAATATCGAATGCTCAACTCCCCTCTAGTCCTAACGCCAGGTGGCATTTTACAATGGCCTATCGTGTTATTAAAAAGAAATATTAAATTATATATATATATATATATATATATATTCATATATATAGATTTATATATTTGTGTTATGTAAATAAACTTGCTTAGTTGAATGCGTATTACGTCATACGTTATTTTCGGTTTATCAAACTAAATTGTCTTATAAACAAATACTTTTGCTTAGTTGGAATTCGAAAAAATGTTTTATTAATATTTATGCAAACAACCAGAAAATACAAGTAAGCTAGCGGTGGCTCCGTGGTGAAGGTAGCCTAGCAACCACTGTTTCTGGGGTCAAAACCCATCTCCACCAGCTTGATATCAAGTGGTTGTCATATGAAATTTTCGCTTAAAATTATAGATTTAAAAATTATTTCTAGTAAAAATAGATTTTCAAAATTTTGCTTCAATGTATATATTACACCATAATAAGAAAAAAATTAAATAATAATTTAATCAGATAGAGACAACAACATGGTAACACTAGGATGAAAAATTACATCACATTATTAGCTCATAAAAACAGTTATTAGCTCATAAAAACAGTTCTGATTGCTGTTAAAACATACATGTATTCAAAGAATTATTATTCTTTATTACTTTTGCTCTGTACCTTCACCCTTTTGTCATGAGAGTGTTTTCCACAGGAATGACGCTGCTGTACGAGCCAACAAGCTGCCCAAGTATTTTTTACACAAAACATTTTAAGATATTCCAAACATTATTAATGAAGTATGTTTATATTTTAAGAGTCAGCCATATTAAATAAGTTGCAATAATAAAATCATCAAATATTGATGGGTTAACCATTGGGTTATCATATAGAAAAATACGAAGTAAGAAGAAGTTACAGCCCAACAGCTTATATGATGTAAGGTTCTAATTGCTGTTAACATATGAGAAAAAAACTAAAAAACTAATTAATGATTCTTAAAAAAAACAAAAACCCCAATAACAAATCAGAATTCTTATGAATATGATTTATAGTAATGAAACTTGAAGCAAAAGCTAGATGTCGTCTATAGGCGACACTTTCGCTCGTAGCAAAGAGGGTAATAGATCCATATCTAAGACTAATCTTGACTTATTGTTAAGTAAAATTTTCAGTCTGTAAATTATTTTTAAAACAAAAGAAATATGTAAAAATCAATTCAATAAAAATTCTTTGATGTAAGTCGATCCCAACAATAATAAATGAAATAATTAATAAAATATTACATACATTTATACACATATGTAATACAATTATTAAACACAGTTTTATATTTATTAATGTTTGATCAAATTCTATGTACAAGTAATAATCGATTTTAGTATTTGTCATAATAATAGCTATAATAAAAAAATAGCTTATTTTAATTACATAGAATGATAGAATTGTATATAGTATTTATATTTATAGCGATACAAAATTGCCACTTACTATTCAACTTCATAAAATTAGATTTTTTAATTCAATTTTTTTTTCATCTGTTTTCATACTTTATATTAATTGATTAATTTTAAAAAATGTCAAAAAAAAAATTCGCTTCA